TCTGCTGAGTGAAGAATTCCTGACACATAAGATTATCTGATAACTGATATTTGATATCATCTGTAAGAGTAAGAGTTCTCTTGCACTTTGAAGAATGATCTTACTATATTTAAGCATGAGAGCTGCAGAACATGAAATACAACCTTATTCTTGAACTTGATTGATTTCAAAGATTCAATCTGCAGATTCAATGATGTACATGCTATATACAGTTGATCAATAGAAAGAAAACAGTTCATACAATTCTATCAACTGATATGAGAAGAACATTTCACATCCCTGATATAGAAGAGTTAAATCTGCTTATATATTAATAAGCAAAGAGAATGATTTACAAGACCTCATCTGAAAGTATTCTGTATGTTATACAGGATCTGGAAGCAGAGAAAACTAAGATAAAGAATATGCAGAAGAACAAGTATATGAAGAAGCTTCTGAAGAAGCATGAGAAGATCTTCTGAACAGATCTTTCATCAGAATTACTGCTGAAATGAGAATTCATACATGAGATTGACACAGAGGACATAAAACCAGTCAATCAGAATGTGTACTCTCTGTCACAAATGCACCTTGAAGAACAGAAGCATCAGATCACAGACCTTCTAGAATGTGATCTCATACAACTCTCATCAAGTACATGAGGCTTTTCAGTTCTATTTGTGAAAAAGACAGATGAGAAGTAATGAATGTGTATCAATTATTGAGCACTCAATAAGCTTATGATCAAGAATGAATATTCACTGTCACAGATTCAATAACAGTTGAATATGATTGAAAATACCTGATATCTATTAAAGATTAATCTTCTCTCAGAATACTGACAGATCTGTGTAGATGAACTGTCAGTTCTGTGAACTGCATTTAATATGCAATGAGGGAAGTTTGAATTTCTGACAATGTTATTCAGTCTGATAAATGTGCCTGTCATCTTTTAAATAATGATGAATATGATTCTTCATAAACAGAATGAAATCTCATGCCTTGTATATCTTGATAATATTCTAGTCTTTTCAAACTCATATAATAAACATCTGAAGCATCTTGATAAAGTGCTTATAACTCTAGCAGAGTATAAGCTCTATATTAAATCAATCAAGTGTGTGTTTGAAATAAAAGAGTTGAAGTTCATAGAACATGTAGTGAGTGATGACTGTATACATCTCATTCTGGAGAAATTGAATGTTATAGTGAATTGACTGTGACTGAGAAACATATATTATGTACAGCAGTTTCTTGAGTTGATCTTATATTATCACAGATTTATCAAGGATTTCATATGAATATCTGCATCACTCTCAGATCTCTTAAGAGAAATGAATGTAAATCTGTGAAAGAAGAAGTTTTATTCAATTATCTGAAATACTGTGTGTGAAAAGGCTTTTCTCACACTGAGAGAATGTATAATAACATTCTCAGTGCTTATTCAATCAGATCATGATAAATCTTTCTACATCAAGACAGACACATCTGAATGAGCTATCAGAGATGCTCTTCTACAGATGAGTAAGAACAGCAAGCTGCACTCAGTGATGTATAATGATAGAAAACTATCAGACACTGAGCTCAATTACTCAGTGTATGAAAAGAAATTGCTAGCAATCAAGTATATACTAGTGTTGTGAGATAGATATATTGACAATGAGTATATGATAACAGTGATCACAGATCATAAAAGCCTTGTCTATCTACAATTAATGATAAAATCTTTCAAACACTTAGCATGTTAAATCTCAGAGTTTCAAGTGTACAATCTTCATATCAAATACTGAAAGAGATCAGATGCTGTGATATCTGACATAATCAGTTACAGACCTGATTTCATGAGTGAGAATTCTGTGAACCAGGTATAAGAGATGTTCATGTTAAACACACTGAGAAAATGCAAGGAATCAGAATAAGTGAATATCATGATCTCTTACTTGAAGAATGACAAGATGTCAGATGATAAGTGTCTTATAAGAGTAGTAGAAGAGATGTCTTTAAACTTCAAGCTGAGAAAATTGAAAAATAATATTATGCTTTATCATAATCTAGAATATGCAGAAGCTCTCTATCTAGAATCTTTATTTAGACACAACTTGATAACTCACATACACAAAGAATTCAGTCACTTAGAAAGCCCTGAACTCATGAGTGTACTTAAATCAAGAGCATACTGACTAAGCATGGTCAAGGACATTCAGATGTATGCTCATGAATGCCTGAATTATCAGGTTGTAAAAGAATCTAAGAAAGAGTTAGAACATAAGAAAGTGCAACATCAGATGAAGTATATAATACAATTATTCAAATAATGAGGAATGAATCTCATAGATATATTACTGTGAATGTCAAATGAAAATTGATGAATAATCACTGCTATTGATTATGCTACTGACTGGCCAGTTACAAGAGCAGTTTCAGAGGTGACAGAGAAGGTGATGATGAAGTTTCTACATGATGAGATCTATGTTAACTATAAAATGCTGCATAAGATTCTAACTGATAACAGTGTGAACCTTGTAGAAGAAGTAATGAGGCATTTTATAAGTCAGTTACAGACAAGATATTATAGAACAATATCATATCATCTGCAGACAAACAGAAAGATGAAACACTTGAATGAAATCTTGAGTAACATGCTGATGAAATATCTAGTGCGCAAGCCTACAAGACTATGAAATGAATATCTCAGGCAGGTGCTACTGATCACACAGATTCAACAGCATGCAGTCTCCAAGTGTTCACTATTCTATCTGTTGTATGAATTGCATCCGCGCATTCCAGAGAATGCTTTGAGAAAGATGAGGAAGAGAATAACAGTTGTGAACACAGTAGTAGCAGTTGCAGATACAACAGTCACAGATATGAAATCAAGATTGAAAGAGATCAGCCACACACATACAAAAGCTAATGAGTTACTTCTGAACTGAGCAATTCAATTGAAAAGAATATGAGACTCACTAGTTAAGAAATTAAGTCTCAAGATAAGAACATGAGTTCTTGTACACAATGAAGATTCTGAGAAGTTTCAATCTAGATGATTTAAGCTATATAAAATACTCAAATCACATTCTCTGAGAATATACACATTGAAAGAATCAGAGGGACAGATCTTATGCAACTTAATAAATAATTCACAACTTATAAAAGTAAATGTATAAGACTTGAGTGAATTATAATCATTCACAGCACTATTATCAGTATTGAAAAAGAAGAGACTTATAATTGAAAAGTCTTATGAGGTAAGAGAAATCATAGACACTTATAAATCAGATAATCTCACTTATTTCAATCTTTTCATAATTATAAGAAAAGAATGAAAAGTAATGAAGAAATCAGATGAACATCACACTTTAATAAGTAATGAAACTGTAGTCAGTTATACAATAACACACTGCAGACAGTGAGTGCAACATGATAAAGAGCAGTCTCAAAGCAGCAGACTTATATATGAGTCAGATCACAGAAGAAAAAGAAATTCAGAGTTGAATTCAACTGTTTACACCAGTTTAATTATAGAGACTACAGAGGATGAATTATCTGAAACATCTGCAGATACATGAGACTAAGTCATCTCAATCTCTGAGAATACTCAGAGATCAGATGAGATTAGTTTTAATGAGCTATTCACTGTAGTGATCTGAGCAGGCAAAGAGAGACAGTATAATGTATAAGACAGAATTATAAAAGATGAAAGCTACTGAATCTAGTCACTGAACACTGTATCATATAGAGATCATGTAAGAGTAGTGACTAGCAGATAAAGAAAAAGTGTAAGAAAAGAAAAGAGATAATGAATTGATTATCAACTGTAAGAATCAGCTGTAAAAGACAAATGTTATTATACACACTTCATTCATTTTCATACATTACATGTTTAATCTATTTTCAACATCATATCACCTGAAAAACATCAAAAATAAAGAAAATCTCTAAACTCAAGATCTGTAAGAGATTTGAGAGCTGCAAGTCACTCTTGTAACAACACTGTGCATGTTTCTGATTTCTCTATCACTCTGTATACAACATTAATATCATTTATCACAAGATTGACTGAAATGCCAATATAGAAATGTGTACACATATATATAGAGAAATTGAAGGAGAGCATGAAACCTGCAGAACCAGGAGCCAGGGCAGGGAAGATGAAGACAGAAGAAATAGAAGAAGAAGACACAGAACTGAATGAATAATGACAGAAGTCACTCAGTGCTGAATACTTATGACTCAGTATGTATACAACCTTCTCTGCAGAGAAGAGAGAGAAAGCAACAGAAGAAGCTTGAGAGTGAAAGAAGATAGTTTCAGTGATGTTATTATCTTTGATTAGAATAATCTCTAATGCTGAAGCAACTAAGAATCATTATTAGTATATAAAAATTGTAAAATCAGAGATGAGAACAGTTACTGAATGAACATCTGCTGATCTTAGAGTTGTATATACAATTACAACACACATGAGGCTTCTTAGAAAGAGAGAGAGAGACACAGAGAAATGCAGAAAGCAGAATGCAGTATATGAACAACTTATTTCTATGATGACATCTCAGACAAGGTGTATAAGTCTCACATCTATGAGTGTAAAAGAGTATGATATCTGTATTCCTGTTTCTGAAAACACAGATATTCTTCATCTGCATCACAAAGTCAGACAACAAACATCAAAGAATAGACTGATACAGATCAATCATTTCAAAGATATTTATCAGAGCAGATGTATCTGCAATATTGAATTTAACAGTTATGAAAAGTTTCTTAGTATCTGTGAATGTCATGACTTCATACACAGTAAAACTTATAACAATTTTCTCTAAGAATAGAAAAAGAGTTACTTCTGAACTGAGTAATTCAATTGAAAAGATGAAAAGAAAAAGACTTACAATCTTAACACTGTTGAGAAGAGAGATGATTCTCTGATATGAATAAATAATTGTCTTATTATAAATATTTAAAATGAACATAATAATCAGTGTCTGTAATCAAGCTCTAGATAGTCATGTTATACACAGTCTTCATACAATAAATTGTTCTGAGAGTTGACAAGAAGAGTGAGAGTGTATATGCTGAGAAACATGATTCATTAAGTCTATATAATATCTTCTTAAAACAGAGAGAGCTGATAATGAAAGCAGAGACAGCAAAATCAGAAGTAGCAGAAGTGAGAGTCATGAGAACAGAGATAGCAGAAGCAGAAGAACCAGACACAGGAATAGATGTAGAAGATTGAGAGAAAGTGACAGAGAAAGAAACAGAGAGAGCAGAGAGAGATGCAGAAGACTCAGTCATATATAACATAGACAATTTCTTTATTATCATATTCTTCAAGTTCTTGATCAATAATTCAACATTGAGTTCACTATTATCAGCAGACACAGATCTGTCAACATATAAAGATTCTATATGAATAAAAACAAATATATCAGCATCTGTGTTTATGCAAAATTGTGTCAGAAAACACAATCAGAAACTCACTGAGAAGAAAACAGTTGAGAATATATAAGAAGATGAAGAAGATGTGTCATTCATGATAGTACATTCTGATAATTGTTAGAAGATAAACAAGTTCTGATCATATTTCATAATACATTACACTTACTGCTAACAAACTGCTCAGTATGAGCACTATAAGAATGCTTATTATAAGAATGAGAGATCATCATCAGAAACATGTACAATGTGATAGATGAACAGATGAAAAGAGTTAAATAGAAGAAGAAATAGAAATCTTGAATGAGATAGTGATATTCAATGATGATGATGATAAAGAAGATGATTGAAGAATGAGAAAAGTTAGTGAATGAGAAGTATAATATAGTGAAAGTTTCTTTGTGAGAGTGTACATAGAATACTAGTCAAATCAGAGATAGATCATATGATTGTAAACACTAGTGACACACTAATCCGCATGAAGCTAGGGCGGATGTCATGATTATATAAGCATGACTGAATCTGGTGAGAAAGAATGTGATTTGAAAGAATATATAACTGTCAGATAATAATGCGGCTGCTTCTGAACTTGCTTATGAGTGTAAAGAGGCTATAGCAGCCGCTAATTAATTTAGTATATGATATTACAATATATAAGAAGCCGGCATATGCCTGTAATTATACGCTGGCTTAAGCAATCTTTGAATCACAGATTATTCAGGTCTTTGCAGCTTGATGTAATATGTACTATTATTATTATTATTATTATTCTTCAATTATAGATATATGCAGTCAGAGACTATAATATCTACCTGAGAACCTTTAGTTCTCAGAGTTTTTCCTATATCTATAGAGTTAACTATTATACACTTATTAATTTCAGATATGCAAAATCAGAAAATTTCAGCTCAGAATATAAAAACTGTTTACAAATTACAGTATTTCAACACCTATTAATACTTTGAAACCATTTGAAAATATCATGACAAAGGAAAAGAGAACATAGTCCTAAAGATAGACACATTAAATAGATAGATAGAAAAGAACAGAAAGAAACAAGTACAGTAAAGAAAGACTATAACAAATAAAATTATTAAAAGATAGTGTATAGCTGTTTTAACAGACTATATCTAATCAACTACGGGCGCTAGCCACCCGCAGGATGCACCTTAAGCTAATTACATTTAACCCCCTATAATTAACCGATCACCGCGTCCGTCCTCTCGGGCCAGCCACTAATTTCCAGGGGTGTTAGTTAGTGGCTGCCACTGCCCACTTGATGATGTACACACCAAGCTTCCGGTTGCTGATCTCGGCCTCATTAGATGCCCATAGACCTATCAATCAGCTGTTGTGGCCTCACCCTGTGTTAGGGACTAATTATAGGCTTGATGACTGCAGTCCTCTCTGCCAGTATTAGGGCTTGGCAGGGAGCTTGCAGGCTCTAGCCTATCAGGGTGCCCTGCCTAGGGCCTAGATGCGCGTCTAGGCCTGCTAGTCAGATGGTTTTCAAAATCATTCCCTGTATTTGAGGGGGAGCTAGGCTCTGATGACAGCCCTAGTTAGGGACTTGCTTAAGTAGTGTATAATCACTACATTAGGCTTGCCTCTATATTGTTAGAACCTTGACGGGTGCACAGTAGAATAGTGGGACATTGGCATCCCATGCCAGCCCTGGTGGGTGTTCGCAGGATCTCGCTTAACTAGTGGCTTGGCTTGCAGTAGGGAGTTCTACCCCGCACCAAGCCTTACTAATTAGGCTCAGCCCCTATTACATGGGGGCTTTCATGGGTAAGAAGTGGCAGGTGCCAGCGGTGGGATTCGAACCCACACACCCCTAATGTGTGCGGCCTTGGTTACCAGTCTTACCAACTGGGCCACGCTGGCTATGTACTATTAACTACTAGAAGTATTCATGATAGGAAGATAAAATGTAGAAGTTAAATATATAATAGTATTCAAGCTGAGTTATGAATAGTATTCACAAACTCCAGTCTATATAGTTGTGTGTAGCCAAGGGCTGCTAAGCCTATTGATTACACAAGAGATAGAAATAGAGATAAAGAATCTGTGAGGAGCGGGATTTCTTTCTATCTCTTACATAATTAATAGAGTTAGCAGCCCTTGACTACACATAACTATATAGACTGAAGTTTATGAATACTATTTATAACTTAGCTTGAATGCTATTATACATTTAATCTCTACATTTTATCTTTCTATCATGAATACTTCTAGTAGTTAATAGTACATATCACGCGGAACAAACCGCTTCACCACGAACTCGCTCGATTTTTTGAATAAGAACCCGCCGATAGATCCATTGAAAAGCCCTCAATCATACAAGCATTTTGACCCCATCGCTGACCGCATACCCCGTGTGGTGGTGAAGTTATTCAGCCAAATGTGAACCAGATGTTGTTCAGAACTCCTGCGTGGGATTATCCCTCATTCTCCCCTATCACACCACAACCCCGGGCCAAATTGCCATACAAATTGTAAGATGAAGAGACCTAGTCATATGCATCAATCTTCTCAATTTTGAAAGATTCTCAATCTGTAGTTGTGAAGATATCTGAGAAGCAATCTTTATGAAAACCCTGTTCATCTTTGATGTTTCAAAACATTAACACCAAGTCTCACCCTTATACCGCCCTTCCTAATCTGGCCCATCTCTGGCAGAAAAATACAAAAAGATATCTCAGTGATAATATCAAGCACATAATTAACAGTCACTTCTGAAGTGCAATCTCTGCAGTCTGTCTTCAGTGTATCTAGACATCAACACCAAGTCTCACCCTCATATCACCTCTCTCAATCTGGCTCATCTCTGACAGAAAAGTATAAAAAGATACCTTAGTAACTGTACTTGATACATAATCAACAGACATGATAACTATAAAATCAGTATATCTCAAGGTCTGACTGAGCCTTTGATCCCTGTATAGTGAGATATATTAAATCTAGTTTTAATATCTTAATATTCAATAGATTCTGCAAGAGATTGAGAACAGTAATACTAGATTTCTATTGAATTTGAGAATTAACTCTATATTAATATAATTATTGACAAAGTCTTCTATTTTGAGATATAAATAATCAGTTTCTCTACATCTCACTGACAATATTTACATTATTATATAGAAACAGACTTATATTCTCTATAATATCAAGACTCTGAAGAGAGAAAGTCTTGATAGAAGATATACAGTAGTATATATCTTAGCAGTTTCTATCTCATTCTTCAGCAGCAGTTAATACAAAAAAAAGATTTTAGAAATAGTTTTTTACTTCTCTTAAAAAAGTAAGGTGTTTTTCTCTGAGTTTTATACAATATTCTTACAAAGAATTAAAAACAGAGTTATTTTCTGTTATAATTTCATATTCTTTTAAGTAAGAATTACTTTTTCAGTGACTGAAGAGCTTTCATTAGTACTTAATTCTTTTTTACACTCTTTATTAACTGGTTTGAGTTGCACACTTGTTGTGTGAGAAGAATTGAATAATTTAGAATAAAATTGAATAGTTTTAATCAATTTCTCTGCAAAAAATTAATTTATTTTTTATCAGTTTTTCTCTTAAAAACTGTTATATTATCTGATTTACTATCAATTGATATCATACTTTTCCTCACTATATCTCAAGAAAGAGATTGTAAAGATTTTATTAATTTATCTTAAAAATCAATTTTAGTTTATTAGATTCTCTTCAAAAATCTAACCTAGTTACTGAACTAGTGTGAAAAAAATCAGGTGTTTTATACACAAAAGTCTGTTATTCTTCTTTTGAAATAGTCTGATCAACTTTTCAATTGAAAACAGACTTAGAAATCTCTTAATTGAAACAGTCTGATTAACTTTTCAATTCAAAAAGAGTTTAATAAATATCTCAATTGAATTAGTCTGATCAACTTTTCATTGAGTAAGAAAAATGAGTTTGAAAGTACACTCAGTTGATGTGGAAAAGAATGCTTTCTCAAATACTATTTCTGAGATTGAAATTCTGAAGAGAAGAAAGAAAGAAGAAATAGAGAAATAACAAGTTCTTGAAATACAGGAACTTGAAAAAGCAAGTAAAATTCTTGAAAAGCAGTGTCTGAGTGAGATGAATGAAGAAGTTCTGTTAATTCTTCATACTCAGGCTAGACAACTACAGAAAGTGATCAAGTTCAAACTTGGAATTTCAAACACAGTTCAAAAAACTTTGAAAATTTCTAATATAATCACTGACTATTCAGTTTGCTCTTCTTTCTTTTCTACTTCTTCTTCTTCTTCTTCTTTAAATCAGAAGAAAATATATGCTCAAGTAGCTGAATCTGCTGTCTCTAAACCTGCTGTCTCTAAATCTGCTATCTCAAAACCTGCTTAAAATTCTGAGAAAACTGAGAAGAATACTGCTCATACTTCTAGTGATAGAAGAGTGAAGAAAAAAATGTAAAAAGAGAAAAATCTTCAAATCTCCAGAAATAGAAGACTTATTCTCAAAGTCTCAAATCAGAACATATTGCAGAGAAATAAGCTAAATTCAAATCTCATTTTCAGAATTAGAAATGAAATTAATCAGCAGTTCTTTTCTCAGTTAATGACTGATATTAAAGTTCAAAAATCAGTTATAGCTTCAATTGAGTTATTCTTCTTTGAAAACTCCATCATTCTGATCACAATGTCTGAATTCAGTGCAGAATTCCTTATTCAGAATGAGAATCTCTGAAAATCAGCAGTAGAATCTTTGTTAAACACAATAATTCTATCTGAGAGAGATGAAAAGTGAGATAAATTCATTCTTCATGATATTTCAGTTGAAATTTTTGACTGTGAAGAAGAAATGCTACTTCTCAAAAATGAATTAGAAGAATACAACTTCATTCAACTGAGAAAAGAGCCTGTATGACTAAATTCAATTGAGTTCAGATAAAGCAGAAGAAATGTCTCTGTTCTAGTATATATAAAGACACTTGAACAGTCAAAGATCTCTGAAGTAAGAGTAGCAGGTTTGAAAATGAGAGTTCATGAATACAAAGACTCAAGAATGAATCTCAAAGCTCAAACACAGTGTTCAAACTGTCAAAGATATGAATACTTTGCAATCTCCTGTTTCAGAGACTCAAAATGTGCATTCTGTGTCAGAGATCATAAAACTAGTGAGTATAAATGTGAAATATGCTCAAAAAGAGATGAAATATATTAACATACTCTGCTTAAATGCTCTAATTGCAAAGAAAAACATGCATCTAGCTCAAAAGAATGTATGTTTGCTTCAAGAACTCAAAAGAACTGGAGAAAAGATGAAGTTCAAAGTAAATCTAGAACTGAAGAGAATAGTCAAGCCAGTAAACTCACAACTGCAAGCTTAAAAAGAAGAAACTCTCAACTATCTAGATCTTCAAACTTCAATTCTTCAGCTAAATATAAACAGAATTTGAATTCTCAAACTTCTGTTAAGATTAGAGAATTGAGAAATGACTCTGATGATAAACTAGATATAATGCAAGCAGTTGAGATTTCTACTTTTCAGAACAGTTATAATCTACTATCTGATAATAGTGATTAGATTCTACTCTACTCTCTTTTAGTATGAATATACAATAAAAACAACAAAAAAAGTTTAAAAACTCTTCAAAAATCACATTTATTCAAAATAATGTGAATAGAAACTTAAATTGTATTTATTCTTGTCTTCAAATTGTATTTGAATAAAAAGTTGATTTTATACTGCTTCAGAAGCTGAATTTTGATGCTGAGCAAAAATATGTCATTTCTCATTCAAGCTACTACTGCTTTTTACCTCAAAAGTCTGAGATAAAGTCAAGAGTAGTGATCTATGAAAGAAAGAGATCAAGATATTAATTTAATCTGAGATTTGATATCATGTCTGACCCTGATATTCTGGTGAATGATATTATAGATAAAGAGAATGAGTTTGACACTATACAGCTCATAAATATCTATAATGAAAAGTCATTGAAGTAAAATAATAACATCTGAACAATTAATAGAGAATTTCTGAATATAACTTTATCAAGAAACTCTATAATTGTAGGAGATTTCAATGCACATCATCTCTGATGAAATTCAGAATGCAAAAGAGCAGTAAGAGCTGATAATCTGATTGAATGAATCTTTGAGCATTCAATGAATTTAGTTAACAAGTCTGATCAATAAACATTCTTTAGAAAAGACATGAAACAGAAATCTATTATAGATCTAATCTTCATGTCACAAAATCTAATAGAAAAAAGACTTGTAAACTGGTTTATTAATTCAAATAAGACATCAGAATCAGATCATGAGATTATTCAATTTAATATTGAACTGAGTGAGAAACAAATGAGTGAAAATCCTCTTCTCTCTAATCAGTTTAACTTTGAAAAGGCTGACTGAAAGGCAGTTGAAGAAAGTATAAAACTGTTAAAATCTGAAAGACAGAGTGAGCTGTATTGAAATCCTGGTCAAGATATCTCAAATGAAATGCTTAAGAATAGAGTGAAGCTCATTACATCTATTATTCTAGTAAGTGTTAAAGATAATATTTTAAAGAGAAAGTCTTCTGAGTATTTAAAATCTTGATGAAATGAGAATATCACATCTAAAAGAAAACAATTGACTACTGCTAGAAGAGATTGAAAGAATGATACAATTTCTGATAAAGAGTTTAAAGCTGTCAGAAATGAATATTTTTCAGATATTAAAAAAGCTAAAACAGACTGCTGAAATAAATTTCTTGAAGAAGCATAAGAAAAAGAAGTTTTTAAAGCTTTTAACTATACTAAAACAAGAAGTGTAGCAAAACTTCCAACCTTAGAATATGAGTTTCAGAATGAATCATATACAGCAAACTCTTTTGAGAAAAAATATCAAGCTTTTATAAGAACTCTCTTTCAAAACTCATCAGATTCAGATTCAGAGGAAGAGAATATATCATGTCTCAACTATATTGATGAAAATGACTGGGAATGGCCTGATCTTACTCAAGATGAACTAGAGTCAGCTATCTTCTCAAGTTCAGTTAAGACTGCTGCAGGGCCTGATTCAATTAATCACTTAATTATTTAAAATACATACCTCTACTTAAAGAATGAATATTTTGAGCTCTTTTTCAATCTCTTGAAAAATGAATATCATTCTGAATGCTGAAGAGAAGTCACTGAAGTGATTCTTATAAAATCTAATAGAAAAACTTCAATTCCTAAGTCATATAGAGTAATATCTCTATTGAACTGTCTAGAAAAGGTTTTAGAAAAGATAATAACTACTCAACTATCTTTTATAAGCTCTATAAGTGATTCTCTTTTATTCAGTGAACAAATGAGAGATAGAAAACAGTGTTCTGCAATTGACACTGTTCTCTCAGTTGTTCATGATATTTAAATAGCAAAGTATGAGAGTCTGGTCTCAACTGCAGTTTTTATTGATATAAAAGAAGCATTTGATCATGTTTCAAAGTCAAAGTTAATTCAGACATTGAAGATATTAAAACTGTCACTTTCTTTAATAAAATGAGTTAAATGTTTTATATCTAAAAGAATTATACAACTCTTCTTTGATGAAATGAAACAAGACAAGACTGAGATAAAAATAGAAGTATCACAAGAATCTTCAATCTCACTCATTTTATTTGCAATATACACTGCATATCTATTCAAAAATAGAAATATGAGAATAGTGTGATCTCTGAGTTATATGAATGATATTAGTCTAGTCTACAGCTCAAAAACTATCAAAGAGAATTTGAAAGTGATTGAAGAAGCTGCAAAGGAAATCTTTGTTAGAGCAGATATCAATTAAATTCAATTTGATATGAATAAAACTGAGTTAATTCATTTCTTTTCTAGATTCAATGAGAAAGAACTATCTCTAACTCTTTTAAATAGAGAGATTAAACTCAGTGTAAATGTCAAATGATTAAGAGTATGATTAAACTCCAAGTTGAATTTTAAATATCATATTCAACAAAGAACTGTCAAGGCAGAAAGATTATTGAACAACATAATCAGACTATTAAATACAGAGAGAGGTCTATTCTTCCAGACTATGAGACAGTTATATATAGTCTGTATTACATCAGTAGCTGATTATGAAGTTCAAGTTTGATGAAATAATCAAGAGAATTTCACTGAACTCTTTCAAAGTCTGTAAAACAGAGTCTTGAGAAGAATTCTGAGAGCATTCAAATTATCTTCTATTAAAGCAATGAAAATTGAAGCTTCAATTTCTTCTCCTACTATTAGATTTGAAAAGGCCTGTATGAACTATGCTCTAAGAGTTGTAAAGATGAGCTTAAATCATATAATCAGAGAAAGAGTCTCTTCTTCATTTTCATCAATTAACTCTGAAAATGAACTGAATTGAAATAGATTTCTTAATTGAAATGAAAATAATTCTTCAAAGAAAATGTCTTCTCAACTGTACAGACTATGCTCTCTGATTAAAAACCAATTCTCTTCTCTAAATGTTGAAAAAGTTGATTATGAGAAGTTATCTCTCTGAAGAGAAAAGCTTGAATCTCTTATAGACTTATAAATAAGTGAACTATCAAAAGAGAAAGAATATGAACAGCATTTGAAGAGAATCTCTACAATCAATATAAAAGACTCTATTCTGATTTATTCAGATAGCTCAAAAAATGAGAATTTGAATAGATTAGGCGCAGGCATTGCTTATACTGAAGATAATATTAATTTTATCTCAGATTTCTGAAATCTAGACTGTGAATCTGAAGTCTTTGATGCTGAACTATTTGTAATAGTGAAAGCTTTCAAACTCATTGAAATAAAATCTCATAAAAGAGGAAATTGTTTAAAAGAGGTATGAATATTCTCTGATAGTCAAGCTGCTTTAAAAAGACTTAGAAATAGTCAGATTCATAATGATCAAATGAATCTTGAACTGATCTTAAACTCTGTTTTAAAAATTCAAAAGAGAAGAATATCAAAGTTGATAATTCATCTGCACTGAGTTCCTGCTCATATGAATATTCATGATAATGAATTGACTGATTCAGCTGTAAAAAAGAGTGCAGAATTAAGCAGATCTATTCAAAAAATTATGTCCTGATCTTTTATAAAGAGAAAAATAAAAGAATCTTGTTTAGACAAGTGAAATGAAAGCTGGCAGAAACAAAAGAAGAGTATACATTATTCAAGATTTGAAACAAAACCCAAGTGAAAATCTTGTTCAATTAAATGTAAAAAGAAAATATTCTCATCTATAATACAGCTGAAACTAGGACATGGCTATTTCAAATCTTATATACAAAGATTTGATGATAGATTTGACTCAATAGAATGCTCATTCTGCAATACAAATGAGAATTCTGAGTATATTGTAATACACTGTGCATTATACAATAGTCTCAGAGTCAGATTGAAAGAGAAGTATGATCTAAATTAATTAAATATGAGATTCTTATTCTCAACTGAGACAGGAATTAAATACTTAATAGACTTTCTATCAGAAACTCAAGCAGCTACAAGAAAATGGCTAAATTCAGAATTATCTGAATATGAAGAGGAGGAAATCAACCAGATATAGTCTGTTAAAACAGCTATATACTATCTTTTAATAATTTGTTTTGTTACAGTCTTTCTTTACTTTATCTTTTCCTTTCAATTTCTTTCTATCTATCTATTTAATGTGTCTATCTTTAAGACTGTATTCTCTTTTCCTTTGTCATGATATTGTCAAATGATTTCAAAGTATCAGAAGATGTTAAAACACTGCAATTTGTAAATGATTTTTGTATTCTGAGCTGGAATTTTCTGATTTTGCATATCTGAAATTGATGAATGTATAATAGTTAACTTTACAGATATAGGAAAAACCCTGGGAACTAAAAGTTCTCAGGTAGATGTCATAGTCTCTAACTGCATACATCTATAATTGAAGAATAATAATAATAATAATAAGAACATATCACGCCAAGCTGCAAACACCTGAATAATTACCTGCAAGTACTGATTCTTACTAGACTGATCACTGAGATCATGCATTTCATGTTTGATTTCATTTGGTCTGATCTCATACATTTCTTGGCATGAATCCCGCTGGGACTAGCTATTAAAAAAACATGCAAAGTAACTATATATCAGATTCTAAAATGAAATCATGACTTGAAAAAAATGAGAAAGTGATCTCATTTGATTTCATTTAGTCTCATTCTTAGCATACAGTTACTATTTTTAGACATTTTAAGGTTTTTTTTAGACTATTTTTAATTTTTTAAAAAGTGACACTTTTTGATAATGCT